AAAAAAAAAAAAGCAAGGTCTATCTATAGATGAGAAATTGTGTTGCATCATTGTTGATTTCATGGCTGTTAGGAGCTCTGGTAGCACAGGGCCTAAGGCACTTGACTGCTAACCAGAAGGCTGGCGGTTCAAACCCAGCAGCCACTCCTCGGAAGGAAGGTTGGCCGATCTGCTTCTGTAGTGATACCGCCTCAGAAACCCAAGGAGAGGGTCTCTATGAGTCAGGTCTGACTCAACGGCACATACCAACTCCCAACCATGTGGCACAAACAGCTTACATTCAACACTGGCCTAAAGGCTGGCACTCTGAACCCACAGAGCAGTGCCACGGAAGACTGTCCTGGCTTCCTGCTTCTGTGAAGACGGCTGCCGCTGGTTTCTCTGAGCGGGTCTCAACTCACGGCAGCCCCCTGTGTACGAAGCAGAGCTGTGCCTCGCAGCATGTCAAGGACAGCGACCTGTGACAGCACGTTGGCAGGCCTGCCTTTCTGTGAGCCTCTGGTGGCTTCCAATCACTAGTCTTTCAACTGGTCGTCAGGCAGTTCACACCACCTGTGTGTGAGAACCCACTCCAGGCCTGAAACAGAGCTCCTGCTGGATGTCCTGCCAATGCCCCACCAAAACCTCCCCGCTTCACCCGCGAGCACTTGGTCTGGACCATGCCCTGCACTGACCTCTGTCCATGGAGACCTGAAGGGCCCACCCCTCGGCGGCCCTGACACTCACCCCCACCGCACCTCCCACACAACAGTAGCCTGTGCACAGACACTGAGGTCCTGGAAGGTCTATGAACAGTCACGACTTCCCATTTCACACACTGCGTCGGCCCTGAACTCCCTGGCTCTGGGGCGCTGGGTCTGAGGTGCAGCCCCACAGGGCGGGAGCCCACCCGGAGCTGGGTCTGAAATGCAGCTTTTTAGTGAGTCTGAAGTTACTTCAAAATGAAAAGAAAAATAAACCCTGGACAGAAGGTGCGCCTGGATTCCTCTTAATCGCAAGCCCCTCAGGTTAGAGACTTCGTGGACACCCCCTCACTGCGTCCCACACACTCGGGGAGGGGCGTGGCCCTCACTCGTCCGGCCCAGGTATTTTTTTAAAAATACCTGAGATCCTTTCTTTGATAAGTCGTTTGAGCTCAAGACTAACCGTTGGGAACATGTTTTATGAATTTTCACATATGTGAAGCTGTGTTTCTCTTCCTTCCTTAAACTTCTAGCTTCACTGTCTTGTAGCCCAAGGATAGGGCCTTCAGGATGAATAAGACCTTGAAGCCATAAGATCTGGACACACTGACCAGAGTCAAAGTGCTGGAAGGTTCTGTTCAGACTTCAGTTTAACACCTGAGTGGCCAAGCACCCATCAGGCCGTATTGTTTGTGGACCGTGAATTAATACACAGACTGTCCCCTGTCATCCCTCTCAGCCCGTGGCCTCTGCCCCATTGGAAGCTCAGGCTGGCCTGGGCCCCGTGTTCCCCACGGTGTCAAGCCCTATGCCTTTGAAGTCAGGATCAGCAGAGGCAAGCCAGGTGGATGGGCCCAGGTGAGTGGGCCAGGTGAGCAGGCAGGTCCTGCCCTAGGGCTGACACTTGGCTGCCTGCTCCTCCCCAGGCTGCTACCTCAGAACCCAGAAGGCTTATCTGAAGCAGGTGCACTCAGGTGCTCCATCCAGCTGCGTCAGGCCTGGCCCAGGTCTGAGGTGGGGGAGGGGCCTAGGTGAGGGACCCTGGGCTGCAGTCCAGGTGGGGACAAGGGACCGAAGAAAGGACGGCGGTTGTCCTGGGAGCGGCACGGAGGGGAGGGGACAGGAAGGACGCCAGGGTGTGTGACGATGCAGGATGCAGGCCAGGAGGCGGCTCTGGGTGAGGGCTCCTCTTCACTCCCCAGGCCCGACTGCCCTCGTCATGGACACCTTCATCCTGGTCCTGGGCCTGTGGTCATCCCTAGCGTGTGCAGAGCCAGGTGAGGCTGAAGGGAGGGTGTAGGGCAGGGGCGGACGCCACGCCATGCTCCGTGTGAGCTGTTCTGTGGGGCGGACGCCACGCCGTGTTCTGTGTGGGCTGTTCTGTGGGGCTGGCCTGCAGGAATGGGACCATGGAGACCAGAGAGCCAGTGAGTGTGGGGGTGTCAGCCACAGTTCTGGGAATCGTCTGTGCACTCAGCCTGGGGGTGCACGGTGCCCTGGGCAGGTGTGACCTGCATCCCCTTGGGGATGGCCGTGATGAGCTGTGTGACCCCGACCCTGTGCCCCTCCCCTGCCCCCAGTTGAACGCCTGCAATGCTACCAGTGCCTCAACGCCAACAGCACGGAGGACTGCAAGGCGGACATGTGCTTGTCCAGTGACACGCTGTGCTTTTCCTACCATGTGGTCACCAAAGTCGGTGAGTGGCCAGGCTGCAGTGTCCTGGGGCCTTCGGAGGCCAAAGCTCGGCCCCAGCTGTGAGGGGCCCTTCAGCAGGACAAAGAGGGGGCCTGCTACCCAAACCCCTAACCCCTCCCCAGGTTCCCCAGCTCCCACACCTGGGCTGCTCAGGGAACAGCCCCAAACCCCGTAGCCCGGGCTGCCCTGGGCCTGGCATGACCGCGGTCTCCTGCAGGTTCCAAGGTCATAAACCTCATCACCAAGGGCTGTGCGGCCCTCTGCAGCATGCAGCCCTCGCACGTCTGGGGGGAACAGTACGTCAACATCCAGGCCCAGTGCTGTGCTTACCCTCTGTGCAACGGGGCGGCCTCGGCCGGCAGCTGGGGGGCCCTGTTCAGCCTGGGCCTCTGCCTCCTCCAGGCCCTGCAGTGAGGATCCTCCCATCATCCCCCAGGCCCCCCGCTGCAGTGAGGACCCTCCCATCACCCCCAGGCCCTACACTGAGTACTCTTCCACCATCCCCCCAGGCCCCTGCAGTTAGGACCCTGCTCAGGGCCCTCACCCCCACTTGGTGACCTGAGGACCGTCCCACACCTGTTCTCAGCCCTGTTCTAGCTCACTTCCCCATCCGCACAGGGAGGAGCCTGCCCTTGGCAAAGCTGTCAGTCCTACTCCCCTTCTGCCAGGGAATGGGGGAGGGTCCCTTGTATGCGACCCTGGGGCGCCTGCTACAGCCTGTGGCCGTCAGGGTGCAGACCAATAAAAGCATTAAGAGAGCCCTGAGACGTCTAGGGAGCTGGAGAAGGCCGGCAAGGTGGGGACACCGAGGTCCCAGAGGGATGGCGCTTCCGCTGGCCCAGAGGCCACTCCACTGCTGCGTTGCTGGCCACAGCCTCAGTCACCAGGCCGAGTGGCCAACGAGAGGGCGCTGGCTTGGGGGTGGGGGAAGGAAGGTTAGCCTAAAGGCTGGCACCCTGAGCACAGCCTTCCCCTGCCCTACAGCCCAGGTCCAATGCTGTCTAACTGGGGTGTGCAGGAGTGGGGGGCAGGGAAGAGTCAGCAGCTGGGGCTCTGCGGTACCGCCATTTCCCCAGGATGAGGGGAGCAGGATTTCACAAGCCTGTTGCACAAGCCCCCACCTGTCAACAGCCAGGTGGGGAAGGCACCAGTGAGACCCCACAGAAAAGAGAGGGTGCCCAGGGCCGTGGGAGGGGTCGCAGCAAAGGAGGGGACACAGGAGAGGAGGGGACACAGGAGAGGAGGGGTCACAGCAGAGGAGGGGTCACAGGAGAGGAGGGGTCACAGCAGAGGAGGGGTCAGGCCACAGGACAGGAGGGGCCACAGGAGAGGAGGGGACACAGCAGAGGAGGGGTCACAGGAGAGGAGGGGTCACAGGAGAGGAGGGG